ATACACATACCATCTCTTAGACGCACATCTTCCCTCATATTCACACATCCAATACACATACCATCTCTAATACGCACATCTTCCCTCATTTTCACACATCCAATACACATACCATCTCTAAAACGTACATCTTCCTCATATCCACACATCCAATACACATACCATCTCTAATACACACATCTTCCCTCATATTCACACATCCAATACACACAGCATCTCTAATACACACACCTTCCATCATATATACACAGCGTCTTTCATAAACCCATCGTCTCTAATATACACACAATTCTAAATACAAACATATAGACCGTCTCCGCCTCGAGTCAATGAGAAATACAACATAATGAGGCTTTGTATATGTGGGGAAGTAATGTTTAAGCCCAAAAGCCAATGGCTGTATTTTTACCAGAGTAACTACAGTATGATGAAAGTGTTCTGGGGGACGAGACAACTTGAGACGTCAGAGGCCGTCCCAGCGATGAAGGGAGAGCGCCAGAAAGCTTCTATATGTCACGCTTCAAGGCGCCCTGTGATAAGACCGCAATTCGATTAAGAATATTAGTGATAGAAAATCGTGATAGGTTGCCTTACCGCTCTCCAAAGACCAGATGAAAGGTTTTTAATCCAAAATGGCAATGACATTGGCCCGAACGTTGCGGGGCAACGTCAAGTAAAGTGATTAAAAGGGCATTCTCCTAATTTTAGACGGTCACAAAACTGTCCACCAAAAATTCACTTTCGTGATAGGTTTTAAGCAATGGGTGAAACGAAACACTTTTACTGGTAAGTGGTGTCTCAGGGGAACCTTTGGCTGATGCGACTTTCCACCAAAACGTTATATGATTCTGTGATAGTAGTACGTTGTGACTAATCAAAACTGTCTTCCAGAAGAGTACTCTTTGGTCTGATGTTAGCGCCGTGCTTAAAGGGGATTTCATTGCATCTCGGGGAAATTGTCAGCAGGCGCGGTATCCATGAAGGCCCTTGGAGGTATGCTTCTATATGTCTATACAACTGCAATTATCCCGTCGCTTCAGTGGGTGGAACTACAACATGGCGTGGACGCATGCTGAACTGTTGCATGAAATTAGAAAGTGAACATGTCTGTGCCCAATCCCATTAGGAATAGTGCTAAACGTGAAACTAAGGGTGTTGTAGGTCGTGTATGGCCTATCATAAAATGTCAAACTGTGAAGTTACAGAGAGTTTTGAAACACTGTTGATATGCGTTACGTTTGCCCTTACGGATTTGAAATCTCAAGGGGTGACATGAGACAACAGTACTGGATATTGGAAACTGTGAGGAAATGAGCCATTTTTCTGACGATGGTCAGGTCTATGATACCTCAAGTTGGCTTTTGTAAATCTATTGTCAATGGTATTTAACATGTTCACATGACATGTGTTATATTTGAGATTACACTTTCTCAGTAAAGTACAGATTCTAGTACCTTTGGTTGACTTTGGTTGATAGCGATCAGGTGCCGGACTCTGAGGGTGTGGGTTCGAATCCCGGATGGGACTCAACCCAACAAAAGCACTAGATTCTGTACTTTGCTAAGAAAGTGTGATCCATAACATATGTTACATTTGACCATTTTTTAATGGCATTGTGTATTCAATGTTCACATGAGTGAGTGGGTTTTACCGCACATTTGAACAGTATTTTAGCCATATAACAGCGTGTCTGCTGATTGTGGGAGGAAAGCCCGAAGTAATGTTGTTCTCAGACGTTTACCACTTTTTGTGAAACCATTTTGTAAGGACATAATGCTGACAAACTTACGAACATAACAGGGGTGAAACGCGGTTCGAACCCACGTCGGTTTCTTGAGTGTCCAAAGGGACGCAACTGTTCCACGAATTACGGCACCACTGACGACTTGGACACATCCAATGTTTAAGTTTCACCTGTTTCTCATGTTACACAGGTATCGCGAGACAACGTCCTCAGCATCACACATTTGCCTTAACAACATAACTCAAGCCTCGCTACATGTCACATTTAAAAGCAAATTGAACATACTGCAGTACCTATAAATGACACGTTTTATAAACAGCTGAAAACGCTCGTGCATCGGATCAAAACTAGACTATTCAACATTTTCGAAGGTTAATATATCTATATCATCAACTTTAAAACTAATAATAAAGGCAATATACTTTATGGATGACAACATCTTTATTATATTATGATGCAACGTTTCGGTACAGATTCTTACACCGCTTCGACCGCCTCCGTGGTGTAGTGGTTAGAGCGTCCGCCTGAAGAGCGGAAGGTCCGGGTTCGATCCCCGACCGCGTCATACCAAAAGACGTTAAAATATGGTACTTGTTGGTCCCTGTCTGGCGCTCGGCATTAATGGGTACAACAAGGACTGGTCGGCTCGGAGTCAGTATAATGTGTCTGAGAGTGGGATATTCATGCTTCACTGCAGCATGGTATCTCAGTGGGCTAGCACTATAAAACCAGCTTCAGTCTGGGCTAGTACAAGCAGCCGCACATACACATACACACGCATGCACGTCGTCATATGAGCGAAATATTCTCAAGCACGACGTTAAACCCAATTTCACCTCACCTCACCTCTTACACCGCTTCAAGCAAGAGTGAAACGTTGCATCTTAATACAATAAGGGACTTGTCATCCGTAAAGTATCTTCACATAGTTGATACTCACACATTTCTATAATGACAAACAGAACGTTCAGGTAAGTACTGCTACTAATGATTTAACAGCAAACAATTTTAAATATTGCAAGATTCCTGAAAACATATTTTTATATTGGTCATTCTGTTTTACATATGATTTCCTTCTCAGGCCACCATTGGGATGCCTCTTGTGAACGTTATCAGTCAAGTCATAATATAATACTTTTCAAAAAAGATAAATTAAACTTTCGTTACCTCTTTATTTCTCAGAAGGATTGGTCTTCAACACATAAAACAAAAGACAGATTTCCTGGCTACACCCACGTCTCAAAGAAGAATGTTTGAAAATCGTTGTGCCTGATGTGGCACTGCGGTTCGCATCTGGTGGTGTTATTGGTATATTGACAACTCAGAGGGTGGGGTGCTGTGGTGCCTCAACCTATCCTCGATGGAGTGAGTGAGTTTAGTTTTACGCCGCACTCTGCAATATTCCAGCTATATGGCGGCGGTCTGCAAAATTCGAGTCTGGACCAGACAATCCAGTGATCAATAGCATGCGCATCGATCTGCGCAATTGGGAACCGATGACATGTTTCAACCAAGTCAGCAAGCCTGACCACCTGATCCCGTTAGTCGCCTCTTACGGATCCTCGATGGACGTATCGATAATCAGAGTAAATGATTAGCCAATGTATGAACGAGTGATATCACGGTGGGGGAGGCCATGAATGGACTTAACACATTGTACACGTGCAGAGAATCGATTCCGGGTCATCGCGTGACGAGCGAACACTTAAACCACTGGGCTTCACCAGTGTATGGATAATCCCGCTTGTAAAGCCTACTTCTGAGAAGTTTATTAGTTTATTTATATAAACTTCTCAGTAAAGTATCGACAACGAAGTGCCAGCTGCCAGTGTTTTACATTCTGCTGAGCAGTGTGTTTGGGAACTCCGTGGACGACCACGCCCATGTCCCCAGTTCGAATCCCGACGGTGGAAGACACATTATCTGTGTCCCCCGTTGTATGGGGGAAAATGGTTTGTTTGTTTGTTGTTTAACGCCGCACTCAGCAATATCCCAACTATATGGCGGCGGGCTGTAAATAATCGATACTGAACCAGACAATCCAGTGATCAAGATCACTAGTATCGATCTACGCAATTGTGATACGATGACATGTATCAACCAAGTCAGCAAGCCTGACCACCCGATCGCCTCTTACGACAAGCATAGGTTGCTGAAAACCAATTCTGATACGGATCAACACAGGTCAGTGGGGATTAACGTCCAGTCCAAGATTAATGCATTTAAAAAGCGATATGCATGCTCATGTTTTGCGTGCGCATGCATGTGTGTCCAATTGTACAAATTCCGGTTTTAACATAGGACCCGTGAAGGTCCGGGTTAGAATGAGCCTTCAGTAACCCATGCTTGTCGTAAGAGGCGACTAACAGGATCGGGTGGTCAGGCTTGCTGACTTGGTTGACACACGTCATCGTTTCCCAATTGCGCAGATCGATGCTCATACTGTTGATCACTGGATTGTCTGGTCCAGACTCGATTATTTACAGACCGCCGCCATATAGCTGGAATATTGCTGAGTGCGGCGTAAAACTAAACTCACTCACGGTTTATATGGACCTCCAACACAGATACAATGTACAAACTCCGAGAGGACACGTCTTTGGCCGAGTAACAAGAAGTGCTGTCTTCTTATAGCTATTGAAGAATACGTACGTCCGGGAATCGAACCAACGACCTTGCGTCTCCAGGCAGACACCTTATCCAATAGGTCATTATTGCTATGAAAGTGCGATTCTATCAAATATGGAATATTGAGGGAACTCTTTATCATCCATGAACGAAACAAACATCTGAGTTCAGTATGGCCGGTTGAGTTAGCTCCCTTGGTTGGGAATTTTGTTTCAAGTCCCCACTTCAGGTTTTCCTTAGTATAGCTTTTCCAGGAATGGTACCAGTTATAGTCCAAAATAAAATTTGGTGTCGTCAGTCATCGTCTGAGGCTGGAATTATTTTCACCAAAGGGGAGTATTCTTCTAACATTTGAAAATGAGCCAATAACTGGCCCAAGCTCATAAACCTGATTATTGGAAATGTAATACAAAACAGAACAGAACCATTCATATTGGCTCATAGCTCTGCTATTCTTCAAATGAAGTAAATGAGTAAAACAAATAGCACGTTTCAGTCGTTTTAGCCTTACGTATATATATTAGAATAAAAAGGCACATGCCAGTATAAGAAAGGGAAGACATGTCTGAATACTTTTATGTTGCCATGTCAATGTTTTCTGCAACTACTGAAGAACCAAATCCAAAAATTGAAAATTCCAGATTTTAATTGACTTTTCAATAGTATTGAAATAAAACTTGTGTTCAGTGGGATACCATATGATATTGCAAATGTAGGTTTCTTTCCATTTAACTGAATGAACATTCAAGATGATTATATCTATATAACAAATATATTTTTAGCTCTTCATTGTTCTGAAGATGACTAATATTTTTGTACCAATTTTTTTCAAGGCATATTAAAACAACCTTGACTAATTAGAAACTGAAATTTAGAAATTGGCAGAATCATGACAGAAACAAGCAGGTGTTCTTTTGAACTGTATATTTTACAAGTGTTGAAAAATAGAACATATCTTATTAGCCTCATGTGAACCCATTAAGAAGTGCACCGGATGAAGATGAGCAATAGTGAAAATAGACCTTCTTATAACTTCAGTAAACAATACATATCGCTGTACATCAATCATCAAATGAAACTATCATTCAGGCCTAAATAGTAATGTTTAACTTCAACAATCTTTTAACATTCTTATTCAAGGATTTTCTAATGATAAACAAAGTGAGTGAACAAGCAAGTGGATTCAAAACCCCCTTTGAACAAAATAATAAAAAACACAATATGGATCGGAATGTGATATGATAAAACAACATACACCTCACAAAATTATGTATGCATGAATCATTATGCTATGCAAGAAGTATCTGACACATTAAGCATGGCTGGTATATTTCTGTCAATCAATGCCACTTCATTGTCACACACTGATGTACTCCATTAAAAGTATGTACATGTCATGGGAATCCATGTATTGCTTCATTGTGAATAAAACAGGTAAAACACGGTAAAAAGTTTTTTAAAATGAAATTGCTATGATGGACGATCATGTGACGAGAATTATGAAACTGAAAGACGGCAACTAACACAGCAGTGAATCCTAACATCAGTCCCAAGTGGCTGGTGAAGAGTTTGGTTGCTGTGGTTTCCTTCTATGCAAGTCTGAATTGTTAAAGTTTCTTGGATCAAATTCTTTCCACAGTTTTTCAAACTCTTTCTGGTATGCTCCGACAAAGTCTGGGTTGTTTGTGATGAGCAGATTCTCCTGGTTGCCCGTGATTGCATTCCTCGTCCAGTTAAAAGAACCATTGATGAGAATCTTTTTGTCCACAATAACAAATTTGTGGTGCATGAAGAATGATGAATGATCAGTCCGGACATTTATACCTGCAACAATACAAGAACATTGTTCAAACAAAGCTTCATCTTTAAATGCCTCACATACTTACATTGTTACAAACACTTTCCTTCCCATACAGCTCTTCGTTACAGCTGTGGGATTTGTATTACTGCATCCTTGATATTAAGGAATACTGACATTGTTAGTGGATGTAAATACAAGGATTGTCCAGTATCATCACCAAAACCATATAAAATTTTAAGCTGACAAACCTACAGGTAACACAGATCAACAATGCCAACACATTCAGTCTTGTAAAGTGATCAGGTCCAGACTTTAATCACTAGTTTAAAACCCTGGGTCCCAGCCACAACGTGTTCGGAAGGCTATGACATTCATAGGCCTATGGTAAACTGTCCAGTTACGAAAGGTCTTAACGTTACAAATGCTGTGTGGATTGGGACCCTGGTCATGTAACATTCTGTTTGGTCTAGTAAGCAAAGTTAGCAACAGTAATTGTTATAACAATGGAATGTACAAAACATGACCAACGTTGGGCAAGTAGACGTAAAAGAACATGCTCAGAGTATCAACACTTGGTGACAGTTCTTAAGGAAAATCTTATTTGGTTATAGAACAATAATATCTGCACCATATGTAATTCTCCCAGTCAACATCAAGCATTTTCCAAATCAGTCCTGAAAACACATTTCTTCAGATGTCACTACTTCTAGTTCCTCTAAAATGTTCTAATGTTCTACAATGTTCGGAAGCAGGAACATTTAAAGCATCAGCACGTTCAAAGTGGCAGCTGATTTCATTATATTATCCACATCAATTAATGATTATATGTACCCTGAACATGTAACATTTTACACACACAATTAATTAGTCTTTGAAGGAAAATCTACTTGCCCAAACAGTCATCTCGCATACAATGTCACCTAATAACAATGATAAAACTAAGGCACTACTTGTGTCTAGATCTAACCCTTGAGCCCATGGTAAAGCATAGGCCCATCTGGTGTTCTTTGATCATCCTGACATATGAAATTCACAACGTCAACAGACTTCTAACAAACTGTTGGATGCACACCTTCTTTCCTGAATCTCCATATCTGTGAACCAGTCATCTCGATCTGTTCGTCATCTGTGATGATCCTAACCACCTTTCCTTTCTTGTGGAGCTGAATCAGTATGTCTGCCAGATCCTGACAACATATCACAAACACACACACATCTAGACTGCGTTCAGCCCTGCCAAGGTGTTTGTACAGCTCACTGAGCGATGTGTCCTTGTGGGAATATCTGCAGTTAACATGACTACAACCTTCTCGTGTTTGAAAATGGGCCTTACATGCAACTTCTTTGTCAGGGAAAAATAAAACTTTAGAAAAACGGTTCTTTACTTTCCTTCGTGTTCTCCACCAAGTCAAACCTTGGTAAATAATCTCTGTTAACACTCCTATCGCCAGTGTTGTTCCAAAAACGAAAGCGCCTCGAACAATTAATGATCGGTCAGGCATTTTAGAAATGTGTATCACCCAAATTAGCAACAGTGAGACAATCTCTGGACGAGACAGGCTTGTCACGTGGTGTCGGGGATTTCCCACTAAAAACACGATTTGTAGTAGATACGAAAAATAAATCGAATTAGAAAAGATTGTTTTTTCGTTTTTTAGATAATTTCTACAATTATTCACAACATGTTATGTTATGACATTGAATCATCATATATTTATTATAATTTGAGTATATTGCAGATGCATATAAAGCTACACTGCAGTAAAGATTCGTTTCTGTATACGATTATTTTTCGATACGTCCCACTTCCGCTTGCAGGTGCTCACTTCCGGTGTGACGTTCACAGGTTTACGATGACAGATTCTAGCTCTGTAAGTAATCTCTGACATTGTTTTGTCGAACCTTGTAGATATTCTTCCACTTTAACATGAGTGTATCGTTATATTATGTTATTGTTACATGTAAATCGTGAAACAGTCACGACTATTATTACTGGCGAGTGACAACTAAAATGACCCTCAGTTTTCGTGCAATATATTTTTTGTCAGCTACGATTCTATAATGTATTTCGGCCAGTACTTCTATTGTGATAAAGACAAGACTAGCTTACCGGACTGCCGGCTGCGGCACTCGCCTCTTGCATTAATCATCAATCATGTGTTACTTGGAATTTCTCCTAATTATTCGACTGAGTAACTGAATGACCGTCACTAATTTACTAAATATTAGTATTATTACCCCTTCACGACCCCTAGGAATCCCTAGGGAATCTGAGTAGGATTGAGTAGCCATTGCCAATCAATCAACCATATTTTCAAGGTAAATTAGGTATTAACAAAATTCGAGTGGTGATTTAATTGCTTTTCGTATTATTGTATAGGTTATTATGGAGGAAACAGATGTTCCACTGAATTTCGGTGAAGAGGATGAACTTGATCGACGAAAAAAGTTGAAGTGAGCAATGATCAGATTTTCATATCTTATAATAATACTTCTCATGAATATATGTTCCTGAATATCAAAGAATATTAGCAATGATGTATGTGTGTAGCCTGATATTCATCTATCTTCTTCAGGCTTGCTTTATATATTTTGGTTGTGCCCACTGGCTTATAAAATGGCTATTTTATGCATTTTAACTATCTGACATAGTTAGGGGTAAAGTATTTCAATCAAAAACAACTTGTAAAAAATGTGAAATATTGTCAATGTTTCCTTAATGCAAATCGACAAATGGCTGTATCATATGTTTTGTCACTGTCATGTTTTCCAGGCACCCAGTGGCAGTGTTTTTCCACATGATATTCCGTGGCAGTGCCATCGTTGCATACCTGCTTTGTGGACTGTTCAGTAGCAGTTTCATAACAAACTTTGTGGTCATTGTCATTCTCCTCTCAATGGACTTCTGGACAGTGAAAAACATTACAGGTAGCTCAGACCCATTACTAGCAGTTGCACTGATGAATATCCAATGTAGAATAGGCCTTCAGCAACCCAACCTTGTTGTAAGAGGCGTCTTACTAGACCTGGTTTCTCAGACTCATTGACTTGGTTGCTGCATAGTTTGATGGTCATGATGTCAATCAAATGATTATCTGTTTCCAGACACCATTATTCACAGACAGCAGTCATAAAGCTGGTATATTGCTGAGTGCAGCATCAACAACAAACAAACACTTATTTTAGTTATTCCAGGTAGAATTGGTCCCCAACAACAGACGCTGATCATAAGACATAGTATGGATGAAGTAGTCAGCCATGGCAACTTCATATATTTGTGAGCCATTGTACTCCATTGTGTAATGTTGCTCATAATGTTGACCACTGGTTTGCCCCATCAGCCTCGATTATTTTAGAGTCCACAGAATAAACAGGTCACTGCTGGAATATTGCTGAGTGTGGTGTACACAACAAATATTAGTATCATTAACATGCTAATGTGGATAATGCATTGTTTTAAATAGCCTTACTCCTTCACATATCAGTTCCATTTGTATCTGTTCAGACCCATGAAGATCCGGGGTGCTTGCCATAAAAGGCGACTATGCTTGCCATAAAAGGCGACTATGCTTGTCGTAAGAGGCAACTAACGGGATCTGGTGGTCAGTTTCGCTGACTTGGTTGACACATGTCATCGGTTCCCAATTGCACAGATCAATGCTCATGCTGTTGATCACTGGATTGTCTGGCCCAGACTCGATTATTTACAGACCACCAGCATATAGCTGGGATATTGCTGAGTGCAGCGTAAAACTAAACTCACTCACTCAATGTATCTGTTCAATATGAAATCTTTCAAATATGCCATCTGTATAATCAACCTGAACATCTGTACATACAATACACTATCTGTGTAGAGGTGTGCTCTGGTTTTCTTTACCATGCATCCTTTTCTTCTTTCAGGCAGACTCCTAGTTGGGCTAAGATGGTGGAATTATGTTGACGATGAGGGGAAAAGTCACTGGATATATGAATCTCGGAAGGTCAGTTGATATTTAAAATGTTGCCATCTCACCTATCCAACCACTTTCATGAATTCTGAGAACAAGTAACAATCCAAATTTCAATGAGGGTAGTCCTAATTGACTTGTAGCTTTACTGAAGATGATGGTAACACTGCTGTTGACATTTCAGGACAAAGGTGGAAGCAAGGTGTCTGCAGTGGAGTCCAGACTCTTCTGGTTGTCTCTAGTTATCAGCGAAGTCATCTGGATGATCCTTTTCTTTGGCACAATATTCACATTTAATCTCAAATGGATCGTAAGTAACATCATTGTGTTTGTTAGATGTTACTGAAAACATGCTATGTGATTCTTTATAAGTTAAGTTCAACTGAAAAATGTTCATTTTAGTCCTTTCCTGTGGCTTTCTGTTCTTAATCATATAAAAATATAGTTAGTAAAATGAAGAAATATTTTGAAATAATGTGCTGATAGTAGTTATGGTAGTAAGCAACAAATTGATTATAAGAAATCATAAGAAATTCACTACATTCAGTTATATTGCATTACCTTACACTGGGTAACACATCCCCAGAAAGTGACAACAAATCTATCTCAAGCAGTCCTTGAAATTTAGATAAACATGTGGAGGTTTCCAATTCTTTGAAGAGAATCGTCCTTGGGGTACATATATGCATTTTCTGTGGCTGAAAATGTCTTGTGACAGTTGTATCAATGTTTTAATAAAATATTGTACAATAAATAAAAAGCTTTTTATCTATTATACGACCCCTCACCACATGGAGTTACCTCCCTGCCACGCATGCGTGGCCAACCAGGTAAGCACCCAAGCCCGTATCATCATTCCTTCTGCTGTCACGCATTGTGTAAACACATGCTTTGACTAGTGCTGACCAAGAGTATTCTTACTACGACTATGTCTGAGTCTTCAACTACTGTATGGATGGTCTTTATTTTGAAACAATGTGCTGATAGTAGTTATGGTAGTAAGCAACAAATTTGTGTTTACTTTCTGGGGATGTCTTGGCCAGTGTAAGGTAATGCAATATGATGTAAAGAGTTTAGTACCAGATTTGGACCAGGTGTTGGCCTCATTATGATCCTTGTTCATCAGTTTGTAAGTTTAGCTTTATTCCTACACGATCATGACATGTCATATCACTGAATGTAGAAAATTTGTTATGATTTCTTATCATCAATCTATCTCAAGCAGGCCTTGGAATCTTGCATTTCCTTGTGGAAGTTTTCCAACCAGGAAAGACCTAGATTACTCCATGTATTATTTAATTCTTTGTATGTTTGTTTTTAGATGGTTGTGATAGTGGGGATCATCATGAATGGTGCAAACCTTTATGGATACATTAGATGTAAACTTGGAGCCAAGAAGAAGCTTTCATCTGTGGCATCCAACTTCCTTGGTGCTCAACTGTTTAGATCTGTAAGTAAACAATACTTAGGTTTGTTGGCGATCTATCTTCTGTTTTCTCCTGTCAGATTTGTGTGTCAGTATACTATACTCATAGTTAGCTCAATGGTGCTGTGGCAAGGTGGCTTGCAGGGTACATTTGGTGTAGTGAGGAGTATGCTCAGATGTATTCAGTTAAAATATCTGTTTGGATTTGTGTGGCAGAATCCTCCAGTACCCAATGTAATACTCCAGTGAGTAATACCAAACTGGCTAGGCACCATTGACGCTTGAACTGATTCCAGAGCAGCGTACTGGTAGGTTCCTGTACCTCATGCTTGTTACCATGGTTACAAGAGCTTGGTAACAATGTGTGCCATGACTGATTGTATATCACACTTGAAAAAATGGATAATAGTGAATTATTTCTTCTTGAGTTGGTCTGTCCAAAATGTAGAAATATTTGCTGTTTTTACTGTTTACTGCAAATTGCATTCATTTGCGAGTATGACAACGAAAAGGTGTATTTGGTGACTGCCTTGGCCATCACAATTTTTACATGGAAAAATGTGCATGTGTAAATGTGTATTAACATTCTGTCTGTTTACCATGAGACTGTTTGTGTTGCCTTGCCTGTGGTAAGCCTGGGTAACTTATAATAACTGTAAATTATGTCATTTCAATTCATGTCTATTTCAGATGTTATCCTCAGCCACAAAGCCTGCAGAGACATCAGCAGAACAAAAATGAAGCTTTGAATAAGAGACTATAGTGGAAATCTGAGTTTTATCATGGTCAGTCATGATACGCTGGCAATGGGCAACAAGTGTTTGATAAATCATGTAGTGGACATACTCTGAAATCCAAATTGGTAATGACGTCTGAAGAAATCTTGATCAAACTCAATTTGATTATGCTATAAATATCTATTCATGTTTGCTGACATTCAAAACGAACTCAAAAGAAATCAAAGAGCAGCCCGATATTTCCGATTATTATAGTTAATCTGTCATGGCAGGACATGGCTATAGTCACATGACAAAGGTTCTTTGACTTCTTCAGAGAAGTACATATACTGCAGTATTTTTTGTTGGGATATTTGTTATATTTATGAGTTGGTAAATTGTTAATATATATCCAGGATGGTTGGTGTAATGCCACACTCAGCAATGTTCCAGCTATATGGCGGCAGTCGGTAAACAATTGAGTCTGGACCAGGAACATGGCTGTACGTAAGAGACTAGTGATCATGACAAAGTGGACATTAAATTATGATAGAACAAATGTTGCAGCAGTGGCAAGTGAAGTGTGATTGCGTGTCAGGTTGTAGACTCCAGTACTATGGACCACTGCTATAGTTTCCTTTGTTGAAGGGGCGGTGGGGTAGCCTAATGGTTAAAGCGTTGGCTCGTCACGCCGAAGACCCGGGTTCGAATCCCAACATGGGCACAATGTGTGAAGCCCATTTCTGGTGTCCCCGCCGTGATGTTTCTGGAATATTGCTAAAAGCGGCGTAAAACCAAACTCAGTCACTCAGTCCTTTGTTGAAAGTGTAGGTGTATTGCTGTGTACAGGTGTACTGAAAACAAAGAGATAACCTTGACAAGTGGATGTCAAAAAAGAACTAAATAAGTTCATTGGGATTAACTTGACCAAATGTGGGTATAAATCAGTTATACCCACATCTCCTGGGCAGATATATCATTGTCAGTACAGTTTGGGTTGACCAGCATTGTAGGGATTATGACAAATACTCCTGGGGAAGTGTTGTTATTACTGTTACATATCCATGACAGTTCTAACAGTTCTGGGTAGGTCTGGTTCTCTGTATACGCAGGACCACATCTTTTTTTAGCTGTTCTTAGCTTGACTTTCAGCATGTGGGGGTATTCTGTTGAGCATCATTGGTTGTACATGTTGTAAATATGTCATGACATCTGTAAATAGAGGACATTCCAGCTTGCATAATCTTGTCCATACTGTTTCACTTTCAAGTACTGCTTGATTCTGTACATTGGGAACTAATTTATAATGCTTTTGCATTCATTAAAGAGTAATACAATGTCATTGTCTGTGTTTTTTGCAGCGAAACATTTCTCTCTCTCTCTCTCTCAAATTATACTTAATGGAGTAATTGAGCATGTTGCAGTTTGGTTCTCCTGTTTAACTCAAATGCAAAGCTTATCAGATCTCACCTATTTGTTATTTAGACCAACATTTAGTCCCTGAAATGAAAATGATTTAAAGATGTATTTTCTTATTTTGTTGTTAAACATATAACAGAAAGGAGACAAGAAAATTTACACTAAACAGGAATTTGAATTTGCCAAAGTATTGTAGACTTGTTCAGAACATTATGGAAAAACAATTTGAGACTGTTACTGAATTTTATTCCAGGCAGATAATGGTTATGGTATGCAATTTTTCTATACACACTGGCAATATTTTTTTGACATATTATCATGATTACAAAAACCGGTATGTAAAACTGTTGCCATCATGCCACTTCTGTAGTCATCCAGAGGACATAAATTGGCTGTGCGGAGGTGCATGTCTTGAGCACAAAGACACCTTTCCTGTTCCGTGTTCCTCACCACCCTCTGACTGTCTTCTGTACTTGGCAGCACCATACCCTTGTTGAAAAGAAGACGAAGTCGCCGGTAGTTCGTGTAAGTTTACTGGCATTCACGTTTTAGGACAGGCATTCGGCATTCCCGCAACACTTGCGAGGCAAGGCAAGGCACAATCACACACACTGTCAAAAACCACTGACAGCACGTGGTTTCATCAAAATTACACACTTACGACAGCAAAGAAATCGGGTGCTTCTGCTGGGTGTATGTAATCGTTGAACTGGCAAAAACGGAAAAGGCTTAATTTTCTTCTCATAATTAAAATTCAAATAACATAATTCATTACTTTCTGACACTTGTTATGGGTTTCTGAAAATGGTAAACTCAACACTTGCATCACTTTGGCCTTTCGTCCCACATAAAGCTGACACTCTGATATAACTGAAATACTACTCAAACCAAACCTTCTCGTTCTCTTTGTATTTGTGTCAAGGATGACACTATTCTTGAGATCATCTTGTAATATACTGACCAAAACAATTGTGTTAAAGGGGAAGTGTATTATCGAATAAATCACTTTTATTCTTATGTGAATCAAAGTGAACTGTTTTAATTAGTTAATACCAATGTTTGAAAATATACACTCATTTTTCTTACAATGTAAGTATAACCCTCAAAATAAGTGCTGAAATGTTATGCCAATATGAGGTATTTGTTTGCCGAGCTAAACAGGCCAGAGTTACCGCCCTTTGATTATGACGTAATTGGTGCCACTTGATTTTAAACTGGTCTCCTGTCTAGTCCCAAATCAAAAGATAATAATACTGATATTAATCACGTGAAAAGAAGTTTGTGAAAACACGAAGCACAAGAACAGAAAATGTAAGCAGCAGGACGGATTGATCGTGTGTATTTTCATTCATAACCTCGTCTCAATGAAAATACCAAATATGTATAACAATGTTGACGTCCGTATGACATCACTATCGGGAAGCGACTTTTTCAAAATGGCGTGTACACTGACACGAGTACGCCGGAGTTTTCGAAGGAAATTTTCGTTGTTTCAAGCAACGTATATGCATAAATGTGACATGTAAGTAGTCCAAAAATTCTGTCAGTCTGCTGGTTGTTATTTTCTTTTTGTTTTCATTGTGACCAAGGGAAATAGTCAGAAATTAAGAGAAGTACCGTCATCGTTGTGTGTGAGTTTGCGTCAGTTATGGCGTCATGCTTTCAAAACTATAATATGTCGTGATGAATCTAGAAAATCATTGGAATACACCTGTTTTATTTAACTATCGCTTGCTACGATACCTTTCCCATGCATGTTCTAAAACTAATGAGCAACAAGTAGGCGAACGGATACACAGTGTAAAATCTGAGATTGGCTTTGTATACATTTCAAACAAGTATTCTTTCACAGCGCGGCATCTCATATCCTCGATATATTTCGTTAGATTTCACTGAAACACTTCGTATTGGTGACAAGAGTCCATTTGTCAGTTTATTTTGAACTGTATGAGGAATTCAGGGATTCATGTAAGGAAGATGGTGTTGAATTATACAGTTGATTTTATGGACGAAACACAACCGACATACATGTGACGTGATTTTATAAACACTATGTAATATGGCTGAAAATTCACTTTGACGTTTGCGTATTTTCCAAGACATTCTCAGCGATTCTAGGTTCATCGATAATGTTTCAGAACGAGCATTGGTGATTCGATCATACAACAACAAAACTACCGCTGATCACAATGATCACGTCTTTTTCTTTTAAATTCAATTCTCCCAGTAAAATTTGACATTTGAATTAAGACAAACCATAAATTACGCAAAACGCAGTGAATGGTGATTTAGTAATGTGTCAAAACTGGCGAGATTTACGATGCATGTAATTTTCAGTAAACTTTATCAACAATGAGCGGATGATATCATAGAAAACGAATTTCAAACAGTGTTCAAAACTGCAAATTGCATTTTTCTGCGTGATGTATTTGGATATGTACTATCGATATCAAAGTGAAGGTGGAAGAGGAGGGACATATCGTACGATTTATGTAAGATCTTTAGTAACAAACGTAGAATGCTGGCACATTCACCGATGGCAAGCAAGATGTAGTGCATACGTTTAAGTACCCGTGAAGATCCGGGGTAGAATAGGTCTTCAGCAACCCATATGTGCTTGCCATAAAAGCGACTATGCTTGTCGTAAGAGGCGACTAACGGGATCGGTGGTCAGGCTCGCTGACTTGGTTGACACATGTCATCGGTTCCGAATTGCGCATATCGATGCTCATGCTGTTGATCACTGGATTGTCTGGTCCAGACTCGATTATTTACAGACCGCCGCCATATAGCTGGGATATTGCTGAGTGCGGCGTAAAACTAAACTCACTCACTCACGCATACGTTTAAGGTTTCCTGAAAAAGTATACTGTTGGAAAGGCGACCGACTCAGGTTGAATATGTTATACAATTTGGTTACGTGGTAACACTTTTAGTACAATGTATACGTTTTTCAAACTGCAACGTCATCATATATGTACGGGTTTGGATATCAAACTACTTGATAAACACTTTTATGATGAAAAGTGCAAGACAAAAGGTTAATTTTCGTGTACACTTGCCCTTTAACTTTTCTATTACATTGTTGTGACAACTATACATGCAGACATAACACATACTCAGTGTTCATATGAAAACTAACTGGTTATTGCACAGCAGCTGTCTTCAAGTATTTATCATCATGAACACAGATCAGTTCGTAGCTTCAGTCACATCACTTTTATCAACTGTTTTCCTGAAATCACTCCATGGGTGTGGCTCTTGCTTTGGTTTCGTCTTCTTCAACCATGTTTCATAGTAGTCCAGGAACTTCATAAATGTTTTCTGGAAGTACTGTGAGGTAAGGAAGTTATCTGTGGCAAGGCCCTTCTCCTGGAAGAAATTGGTAGTTCGGTTTGAATTCCATAGATGTTACAATTTGTTCTGATTATTTAGGTAGGTAGGACCCTATTCTAATTGTTGTTGAGATGTTAAACTTACATTCATCTTGATACAGGCCACAAAGTCATCTAAGTGATGATTGCCAAACTGGTAAAAGTTTGAAACCTACTAAAGACAAAGACACAGCGTGTGTAGGGAAACTGGTAAGTGTGAGCAGGATTCAAACCAACACATGCATGGGGCAAACTTTATCCATGGACCCCAAGACCCACGTTATGACGAGGGACAACTGTGGTAGAGTAATGACAACTAGGGCTGTGCAATATTACTGATAAACCGGTATATATGCGATACGATTATCGCGATATGGTTCAGATTCTGCAATATATTGGGTCATCAAGAGTTGAAATTATATGCCCTTGACTTCCATGGCAACAATATGTGTTCTAAAAGTGTCAAATATACTTTTATTTCAGTTGGTTTCATGTAACATTTTACAAGTGGAAGTATCTCTATAAGTGGCTCCAAAAGAGCCAAATATTCTACCAAGTTTTGTGGGTTTGAATGGTTTCATATGTGACAGTTTGGAGGAATTAAGTGGCCTCAAATGGGCCAATGTTTTATTTGGCCTTATTAGTAGAGCCTCTGGCTCTGAGGGACCATTTCACAATTCAAAATATTTTATTATTTTTGTTTGTTTCATAATGGGACATATGTTATCAATTATCATAAAAGCTTAAGTCTTATAAATTTTGTAGGACTGTATAATGACATTCTAGTCAAGGATCTTAGCATTGGGAGGTTACATGAGTTTTTAAGCTCAAGTAGTTCACCTAAATCATGTTTTTGTTTCATTTTGCAATAGTTCATGTTAACACATGTTTATATTGGAGTTGAATCTGAATGAATCACTGACATACGAGGGGCGATCAAAAAGTATGTAGAATCAACAAGAAAACGATACAAATGCAGTTATTTTTATGTTGTTGTTTTTTTCTACATATTATCTGTCAAGCTCAAGCAATTTGGTTTTGCTATGTTCCAGTCTCTCGATCCCCATTTTGTTTGACCTTGGTACCCTCAAAAAACACAAAATCTACAATAAATGCATCAAAAACGTCAGGAAACAAAATATGCAAGCAATATTTTGTGTGTTTTGAGATTGACAGAAGTCCCCAAGAATCACACATAGATATTCAAGTTCATAAAAAAGCAATTTGAAATTACAATCGCTTGTTAAAGTGACTCCACCCTTCATGTTGACTGAAAGAGCTTGTTTTGGAGACGCTAACCATCCCCCCTTTCAGATGACGTAATCATAAGGGCATAGCTTATTCTAATGTTTTCACCTATGCATACATGATGCCGAGGGTTCAAACTAAATACTGAATGGTCACACAAGTGTCAGCTGACAATATATTGTAAACTGTGCCAGCTTGAATATCTGGACACAATGTCTTTGAAAGTTTAAAATGGGGGTGTCCTTAAAAAATAGCCCCCGACTAAATATAAATCAGGCAATCCAAATCTTTGACTGTTGATCATGTCGGGAAGTCATCCAATACTATACTGAACATATTTTATATGACATTATCTGAGGGCATACCATTATCCAAGAGATACCAAAAGACAAATCGTTTTTCATTTTCTGCAATTTTGTTAGAAATATTATACCCCAATGTGCTGTGATGACAAATATCTGGTTAACCACATTACCCACACATGTGAAATTTTGGATATGGCTTTGCTAACGATTCCTTCAAAATAAAATGGAAGCTATGCAAACATTGGACATCGAGAATATAGTTAGGCTACGTACTTTTTGATCGACCCTCGTACCGTAACAATAAGTACATCCTGCATTGAGGTGAACTCTGTTGAAGCAAACAACACTAGTATTGACCATGAAAATCATGTTATACTATTACTTTTATCATTATGTTCGCAAAACTTTATTGCAATACTTCAATTAATATTCCACATAAAAGCTCTATATCATTTTATTTATCTGTAAACCATTGGCATACAGCCATACACAATGGGGACGGGGAGCCTGAAAGTATGGTGTAACGACAACTAAGAAGATGATGTCGCACACAGAGAGCTATTATGAATTTATCATGTACGCACTTGGCCAGAAACCTTCCAGTCAATTCAATATATATTGCAATATCTCTGAAGTTATTGCAATATATAGCGATATGAAAATCGGAGCAATATCCAGCCCTAATGACAACTGCATGTCTTCATATGTTTTGCACAACTCCACACACAGGGAGTAAAAAGGAGTTTACGTACCACTTGGACTGTTCTTCGTTTGGCCTCCGCAATACTACGTTCCACAACCTCCAGAAACTTGTCGTTAGGACTGAGGTCATACTTCTCGACTTCTCTCAAGATGACAGACTTGTAACCAAAGTCCAGATTACTCGCATATGCCAGTGTCCCCAAAACCTCAATGTTTGGTGCCATACCATAATGCTGTCATATGGAACAAACAGAATGATGTCACACACAATTATTAATCATAACTTATTTGTTTCAGAGATAAACCTGATTAGCATGAGGATCTTTGGACAATCCTCAAATGGCAGTATTAACTTTAAAGTTTCATTTAGGTAATTTCTGTCAGTATATGACCCTATCTTATCTTGTTGAGCTTGTACCCATGAAGATCCAGGTTAGAATTGGTCTTCAGTAACCTATGTTTGTCGTAAGAGGCAACTAATGGGATTGGGTAGTCAGACTCGCTGACTTGGTTGACACATGTCGTATCCCAATTGCATATATCGATATTTAAGCTGTTGATCACTGGACTGTCTGGTCCAGACTCGATTATTTACAGACCGCCACCATATAGCTGAAATGTTGCGGAGTGTGGCGCAAAACTCAACTCACTCACTTGTGGAGCTTGAACTTGAAGTCAACAGCCAACCAAAATGACTCTTCTTAAGGAGTGTTTGGGAGAGATCCACATTACAATTGCAGGGGTATGGTTGTGAGTCAGGCATTCCAAGTTTTAATGGGTACAGTACACATTGAGATCAGCACAATTTTGGTGAGATAACACCCCCTTGTGTTGTGTAAATTGAATTTCCAAATGGGTCCATGATTGTATTGAGACAGAATGGAGATATAATACCCTCTATTATCAGTGATATAGTAACAGAATATGTCCCACCTCCATGTCTTTGAGGAACTGTATGCCATCTCTCTGGAGGCGGCATGTCATGGCCAGAGTTCCAAACGTCATCATGTCGGGCTGGAGTCCAGACGCCCTCATCAGTTCTAGAACGCTCTGTGGGAGGAAACAAGCGATAACAGACAATTTGAATGAGTGAGTTTACTTTAACGCCACACTCAGCAATATTCCAGCTATATGGGGGTGATAACAAATTCAAAATATAATGGAAATCACTGCAAGTGTATTAAACACATATTTTGATTTCAAACAGTGCAATATAACCACAAAATATATACTAGGCACATAAAGAAACTGTGCATACAGAAATCTAAAATCTAAATTTATCAAACCTGTGTAGACACATAAGGATTTAAACTCAGAGATTAGTGACATGTATCCAACATGCATGCACGTGCCACGTCCCGTGACGTCAGTGGGTTCGATTCTTGAGACGCAGTAATGCTGTTGTTGCGGCATTCGGGAAAGAGAAACAGAGCAAAATGAATGCCAACACAATACTGTCACTTTGGAAAGTTCAACCCCTGCCCTCGCGATCGTTCAAAAAATTAAGCGGCTATTGGTCCGTGGGGGAATGTGTCAACGACAAGTGGCTGCACATTTCCACTGCCACCGGAACACCATTTCTGCACTGGTGAGACGCTACCAGAACACAAATGACGTCATCGATCGGCCACGTTCTGGAAGTCCACGGGTAACAACACCAAGACAGGACAGATGGATAAGGGTGACCCATCTTCGCCCGAACCATCCCAGGACTTCGCTGTATCCACCCCAACACAGTTCGACAACGTTTACGTCATCACGGGATCAGACCACGATGTCCCGCCATACGGCCTATCCTGACACAACGTCATTGACAAGCTCGCCGAATGTGGTGCCGAAATCATGTCCGCAGACCCTTGTTTTGGTGAAGAAATGTTGTTTTCACAGATGAGTCCAGATTTAACTTTTCCCATAGTGATGGACGTCAACGTGCCTATAGACACGTCGGAGAACGTTATGCACAGGCCTGTGTCTTGGAGAGGATGCGCTTTGGTGGTGGTTCGTGATGATTTGAGGTGGAATAACAGCACGCCAAAGAACTCCTTTTGGCGATTGTTCAGGGCAACTTAACTGGTGTGGGCTACAGGGATCAGATTCTTCGACCTGTGGCAATTACTTTTTCTTGACGCCATGACCCTGGGTAAACATTCCAACAGGACAATGCCCTCCCTCATAACGGCAAGGGTTGCTATGGATTTCTTGCAACACCACAAGCGCTGACTTACTGCCTTGGCCTGCAATTCACCGGATCTGTCCCCTCGATAGGCATGTTTGGGATCGAGATGGATCGCCGTCTCACGCCGCCTTCCTCATCCGCCAGATAACATCCTTGACCTTGCTACAGAACTTGAGAGAATCTGGCGTGACATCCCACAAGCCTTCCTTGCACGCTTGATAGGCTCTATCGTCGTCGATGCACTGCTGTTCTCAATGCCGATGGTGGACATACCGTTATTAAGCTTGTGACAGGGTCGTTTGACCCCTGTCCCGCTTGTGGACTTGTGACGTCATTGTGATTGACTTTCCAATTGAAATTCTCCCGACTTGTTATGGTCTCATGATCCCTCCATTAAAGTTTATATGTACCTTTGACATTGTTATCGTACTTATCAACTGGGATAATATTTTGACAATGCACAGTTTCTTTATGTGGCTAGTATATATAAATTATTACACAACTGACCACAAATATGTTTACAATACTGCTGCTAGTTTGAAAATGAGATCACTATTCTTAAACTTTAGTTGTAAAAGTCATTAAATCTATTTAACTCCATGTTAACAATAAATATCAAAATAAGTGTGCATGAGTAGAAGTATTCGTTATCAGTATGAATCATAATAGTCTGAATATTTGATAAAAAATGGGTAAAAGTGTGACACAAAAGGCAATGATTAACCAAACAAAGGGTTCAAAATTTTGTGTCTCATGAAACCCCAGATTGATGTAACCAGTTCATTACCAAATAAAAACTTTCTATAGATCAAATGGCTATGGGTCTATTCAGTACATTTCTCCATCAGCCATGATTAGAAACAGCTGCTATACGATGCATGGTGATGCCATCTACTTTAAGTAGACAAATGAAAAGAGGCTGGAAATTACTCACAGATGGTCATGAACCTTTCTACATGGATGAAATTTGTGCAAAGCCTGCATAGAGAAGATATTTTGGCCAATGTGAACACTCACTGTTTCCCCTCTCACACCATCATGGATGCATCGATTAAAGATAGTGATTATAGTGCAAAAGCACTCATGTGTTGATTGTCAAAGGAATTTATCATCCAAAACTGTGTTCCACAGGAGATATCGCTTGTGTGAGATCAAACGATATCTCCTAGGAGATATCGTTTTGACAGTAGATTTTGTACAATGCCCTGACAATGCTATGACATCATGTACTTGATGACGTCACAATGCTATGACATCGCTGCATTGCAAGTCTAATGGCAGTACCATGTTCAGAGATGTACATTTTTCATTGAAAATTAATGAAGAGTGATTTTGGATGATAAATAGAATCTCACCCTCGTGTCTTCTGATATCAAATATATCAAACCTCGGATATTTGTAACTTTATCAACTCGTGTAGATATAATTGAAATCAGAAGACACTTGGGTGAGATTCTATATGTATTGCAATAATAATAATAACTGGCCACTTATATTGTGCTGAACTCCACGCCGCAGGGACATGCTCCAAGCGCAGACAACATGATGGACATTATTACCCCAGATAAACCAGCTGCCTGTGAGGCGAATGTTAATAGTCATATGACTTACACCACCGAGTTAGCATTTTCTGCTGGGTGAACAGAACCATTCAAGAATAGGCAATGATGATGAATTCCAGATGAACAATATGATGAACAACTCACCCTGGCTTCTGCTCTCCTGAAACACCTCTTCATGGATGAGTGAGTTGTACCATGGCGATGTCTGGCTTCACACCAAGGTCTTCCATGCGTGCAGAAGCGCCATCTCTGCCAAGGCTGTGGGAGGGGCCACTTCTATCAGCTGGCTGAATGGCCGAACATCTGGTTGGACACCATCGTTGCCATGGCATCCAGGATGCCATGCATTCCACCAATCACAGCCAATCTCTCATCTGGATACTTTAACTGTTTAATAGAGATTACATTGTCCAGTTTACAGTCAGTTCTTAACAGATTTGGTACCTCGGCCAAGTTGGCAGTACTGGAATAATCTGCTCCATACACTCCCACCACTGTCGATTAGCTGGAACAAGAGAATCTCTCTCAAATAGTTGGATTTTAGGGTCACAATCTTCAGAGTCTTGGGTGTTTTGTTTCAGGTTAGAAACATTCTCGATTTCCCTCTAAGGTCCTTGACCTGATTTGCTGGCCCCATCACTGATCTGACCAAGAACTTCATGTTCACCAGATTTACGAAACCTCGTATTGTTCTGCCTCAACATCTTAGGGTGAGTTTGGCTATGCGTGTCAACTTCCTGGTGACCAGGAGAAGCAGATCAGAGAAGTCATTGTCTCCTGCACCACAGTCTCGCGACGCTTCTCAGCAGCAGGTTGTAGAGAGGCAGGTCAGGGCTCACTTTGAACTGCTTCATCAAAGCGCCACACCTGACACAATGAGATCACAAGTAATCAGAACCTGGTCAGATGCCAAGACACAACATTTATAACGTAACTGACTTCAGTATAGGTTTTGTGTCTATGGACATGAAAACTGATCTCTGCACAGTGGATATCAGCATGATATCAAAGTTATTATGCTCACTGAATCAATAGCACAAAGCAAAAATGCACACAACAAAATTATATCTGTACCATCGTTCAACACAATAATGACTCCGAAAACACTGACTACCCTTTTACCAACTGATCTGGAAAAACTACTCATTCCATCTATCCATCCATCTATCTATCCATCCACCCAACCCGAGACTAGTGATCATGACAAAGTGGGTAAATTATAATGGTTAAGTTGCAAGTGAAGTGTGATTGATAGCGTGTCAGGACCCTGCTATAGACTCCAGTAATGGAGCTCGTCCGCTATAGTTTCCGAAGAACCGGTTCGAAACCCCACATGGGCACAATGTGTGAAGCCCATTTCTGGTGTCCCCCGCCGTGATGTTGCTGGAATATTGCTAAAAGCGGCGTAAAACCAAACTCAGTCAGTCAGTCCACCCAAACCCATCCATTTTATATTCATTCATTCAACATAATAACTAAATCTGTGTGAACACAGTTCAGGTCATGCAGACATTGTTCATGATATCGGTCATTAATTTCTCTGCTTCATTACTGTCAGGTTGCTGTGATTCACAATAACTGACTCCCACTTGAAACACAAAAAAAATACTTTTGTGTATGGGACTAATTCTTTCATCTAACAAGAACAAAAACATCTGGTAATGTTGATGCAGTAATGGTTTTAAAGGATAAAGCTCACATTTTTTCCGTCATTTAACACTTGAGCCAGTGTGGTATTTGCTTAACTTGGTTTTGGTGATTGGAACCTTTATATAAAAAACGCATTGAAGGTATAATATTCAAAAAAAAGTATTCACACATTTTGAGAGATAGGGCTTGGTCCATCTCAGACCTATCTGTAAGCCTTAAACAGTTTATACAAAGTACAATTTTTAAACTTATCCTATCTCACGATTTGCACTTCTCTATCTTGCTTCGACGCTGAGTGGAAGGAATGAGAACTTTTCCTGTAGGCCTCTCTTGTCCATACGCCCGTGTTCCCCAGGCTGCTCTCCTTATAGGAAACCCCGCTTTCAACAACCAGTATTAACTGCGGACGTATTGTCGTCCGTCCAGAGATTCCCGGTAGCGACCCTAAGTAGGACAGTGATAATTTTATTGGCGATCATCAGATGTATTGACCTGTGTTCGATTATCGGAATGTGCTCCTTATCATGGTTGCCCCGCTGGCTGGCAGACAGAGCTCGTTACATCAAACTGCTCGATGTGATGCCAGCTGACTCACACAGCCGATGTCTACATCTCCGCCTCATCAAATCGCCGAATCGATTCACCACCACACGAATCAGTTCACCATACCGAATGGATTCACACGGCGTATGTGGATTACGACATCGACTCAATTCGCCATAACATTAAGACTGTTTCTTATCGTCTAAACGGTTCACATCATCGATTCGATTCACAGCAGCGAAACGGCTCGATTCCCCCCTGTTGAACCAATTCACCTCGGCCGGAACATTTCACCTCGCCTCACTGGTTCATCTGATCGTTCTAGATCTCTCTATCAGCTGAGATCATTTAAATGTTTCGGATTACCGAGCCGATCCAGATCACAGTCACGATCCAGCTCACAACGCCGATCCAGATCACGGACTGATTCAGATCACATCAACGTTCCGGCTCACCACCCTGAACCGATTTACCAGCCCGACTCGTACCGTTTCACCAGGCCGAACCGCTTCCTATCGTCGTACCAGTTCACCTGGCCGTTCAAGATCACTGAATTGTCAGCATTCATTGAACTGTCAGCATTTGTCAATAATCCACTCCTCGGACCTTGCCAGCAATTGAGCTTATTCATGAATTGGGCGATTCACCAGACATTTTGATGGTAATTTTGTACATAAACCATCAGGGGTCGACAGGATCAGCAGCTCTGCTTCAGTTGAGGTTTCGAATTTATCATCTGATCGGTTCACGTGGTTCACACACAGTGGCCAGAGCCAGACACATTCCCAGGATGAGGAATGTCATTGCCGATGCCCTGTCACGTCTCAAACGCCCGTCACTCACGGAGTGGAAACAACTGCCTCTGATATTCCAATCGAAAATCTACCTGTTATCATGACCAGAGGTAGACCTGTTCGCCACTTGGGACAACCATCAGCTTCAGCGCAGATGATCACCAGTTGCGATCGTTACTGCTTTATGTACAATCTGAATAAAATTCTGAATTTTATTTCTGATTTGTGTCTTCGATTCTTCTGGGACACCCTCCTCGGTACGTAGTCTGTGGGGGTTGTTTCGAAGCAGGGGTTGGCCCGATACTAGACATTAGACTTTTATTACGGGGGTACCTTGGAAATCATGGTAATGTGACTGATTACACTCACTACGCTGCGTCCTTTCACTTTCGTGAAGGTAGTGACTGAACACCACATTGCTCGAGAGTCCCGGTCCCTGGGAGCAATTGTGCTTAGCAAGTCAATGGGTTCGAACTAACCATCGCACGTAGTGACCTTGGTAGTTATGGGCCTACCTTGTCGTAGAAGTAGAAGTGTCGGATGTAGAAGTGTTCGACAATCTAGCCTGCTGACCTCTACTCCATGGAGCAATCACGTCAGTGTAGTGAGTCCTTCCCGATTTCTTTATGGATTTCGTAGCGTTCAAGCTCCTAAATACCTTAGCACACCGTTGTGACCTAACTGTGGTAAGTAGTGGAAGTCATGTGGTGTTGTTTTGGTACTGAACGTTAAACTTGTGAGTTTTCCGATTCTGTTTCCTTTTCCCCTCTTCGTGATGGGGTCTGGGGGGCTGTCTCGAAGCAGGTGCAGGCCCGATTACTAGTCGTAATTACGGGGGTACTCTGATAAGTCGTGGCTAAGCAAGGTGACTTGCCTAGTTGCATTTTCTTGCGTATGCGAGGGTTGCTGCTGAACACCACATTGCTCAGGAGCACCCACTCCATGGGAGCGATGATGCCTAGTATGCCAAGGGGTTCAGGAGAACCCATCACTAGTATAGGTACTATGCTAGTCGGATCCTGGGGCCGAACACCACATTGCTCAGGAGCACCCACTCCTTGGGAGCGATGATGCCTAGTAAGCCAAGGGGTTCAGGAGAACCCATCACTACATCACTAGTATAGGTACTATGCTAGTCGGATCCTGCGGCCGAACACCACATTGCTCAGGAGCACCCACTCCTTGGGAGCGATGATGCCAAGTAGGTCAAGGGGTTCAGGAGAACCCATCACTAGTATAGATACTATGCTAGTTGGATCCTGGGGCCGAACACCACATTGCTCAGGAGCACCCACTCCTTGGGAGCGATGATGCCAAGTAAGTCAAGGGGTTCAGGAGAACCCATCACTAGTATAGGTACTATGCTAGTTGGATCCTGGGGCCGAACACCACATTGCTCAGGAGCACCCACTCCTTGGGAGCGATGATGCCTAGTAAGCCAAGGGGTTCAGGAGAACCCATCACTAGTAGAAGTACTATGCTAGTCAGATCCGGCCTCCCTTGTTCATTGCTATCTACGGTTGTCATTAGCCTATACAGTATATACTGTCAGTGCCTTTTGACTTAGGGTAATCTGTGACCCGCCATCCAACCGTGGGATAAGTGCAAATCGTGAGATAGGATAAGTTTTAAAATTTTAAAATTTGAATATAAATTGTATATTTATATACTTATCCTATCTCACGAGATGGATGCCCACCCAGCCTCCCCTCTACTCAGATTATGATGGTTACGTATAACTGTCATTGGCTCCAAGAAGAGAATGATCACTCTGAGGTAGTCACGTGGGTAGACAGGGGAACATGCTGCACGCTTAGCCTGGGACTAGGGACCTGTCCTATAAGGAGAGCAGCCTGGGGAACACGGGCGTATGGACAAGAGAGGCCTACAGGAAAAGTTCTCATTCGTTCCACTCAGCGTCGAAGCAAGAGAGAGAAGTGCAAATCGTGAGATAGGATAAGTATATAAATATACAATTTATATTAAAATTTTCAATAATCTACACCTATTGTCAGACTTCAATTTCTGTGGAAGAAGCGATGACTGAGTGGGTTAGATCGCTGACTTTGTGTGCTGAAAGCGTAGGTTCAAATCTCAGATGGAACACAACCCATGAAAGTACTAGCATCTATACTTTACTGAGAAAGGGTAATCCCAAATATAGTATACGTTGAACTACTGTTTTTCTCTGAATAATTGTAATAAGCAATGAAAATACAAAAGGTCACCTTCAGGGTATACTTAAATCCCGCCTTCCTGTCTGAGATACAAGCCATCAACAGGAAGCTGAAAGTTTCGGCAGTGGGTCGGATCTTAGTGGTCAGTTCATCCATCAGACTAAAGGCTGTCTGGATGTCTCCATGCAGGGCGTAACACTTGATCATGGCTTGGTATGTGATCTGGTTGGGTTCATAATCCTTGGTGAGCATGAGCTGCCTCAAGTTGTCTGCCCTTGACAAACCATCTTCAGACCACGGGGAGTTGGCGCAAGCATTGAAAAGTGATGTGTATGTTAGATCTACAGGCTGTAGGCCCATTTTTTTCATCTGAAATATATGTGAATATAGAAAGACATGCATCAGTTAACAGTTACTGGGTCACTCTGTAATCAGTCTGTTAAGACACACAGATGTATCAATCGTGAAATTACACATAATGCTTTCATAATATTTATAAAGATTTTGAATTTTCATAATAATTAATCAGGCTATCCTTAAATGACGCTTTGAAAAAATAATACTAAATCTGACAGCACAATGCAGTTCACACAAGCCACTGGACCCGGAACACTGGAAAACACCAGTACATTCAATATTCTGTCAATATGTGATGCCCTTTTCTTATGCCCTTTGCCCACGGATGATAGTGCTGGAATATAGCTAAAGGCTCAAACAGGTCAAACAGCAGCAAAACATGGAAGAATTGTAACAGTTAAACGTGAACAGTTAAAAATAACCTAGGGAAAAAATGAATGAAAAATGGATTTTCTATTATTGCATTGCATTTCATTACCTGACTTCCACAAATTCTTTACCTAGTTTATCATATGAGAACTATTGTGTTTCAGAATACATTTCATCCTGATCTATCCATCATTAGTCACATACTACATTTATACTACATTGGAATCTGTCAAAACAGGTGAGGTGATATGGGGTTTAACGTCGTGCTTGAGAATATTTCGCTCATATGACGACGTGCATGCGTGTGTATGTGTATGTGCACCTGCTTGTACTAGCCCAGACTTAAGCTGGTTTTATAGTGCTAGCCCACTGAGATACCATGCCGCAGTGAAGCATGAATACCCACTCAGACACAGTATACTGACTGAGAGCCGACCAGTCCTTGTTGTACCCATTAGGCGAGCGCCAGGCAGGGACCAACAAGTACCATATTTTATCGTCTTTTGGTATGACGCATTCGGGATCGAATGCGTTATCACATCCATCTTCCGAAATACAGGGATCGACGCTCTAACCACTACACCACGGAGGCGGTCCTGTCAAAACAGACACGAAACCAATCTATATATCTGTCAATATCTGACCACATGAATTTATTTCATTCCTTTCAACATTATTTTGAATTTCTATTCTTTACTTCCATCTAAAATCTCACAAATCCCAACCAGTACCAGGGAGCGGTGGGGTAGCCTAATGGTTAAGGCATTTGCTCGTCACGCTGAAGACCCGGGTTCAATTCCCCACATGGGTACATTGTATGAAGGTTATTTTGGTGTCTCCCGCCGTGATGGTGCTGGAATATTGCTAAAAGCAGCGTAAAACCAAACTCACTCACAAACTGCACTTTCAGACCCAAACAGGTTCAGTTTAAACAATTTCCACTGTACCTTGTTGAAGAGCTGGAACGCCTTCTTGGTATATCCTACCCTCCCAAGCAAGCCAATGAGAACTGTGAATGTATATGCTGTAGGCATTACTCGGTCATTCTTCAGCATCCATTCTTCAAGGACAGCCACAGCCTCTTTAATCTGAACAAAAACAAGACAAACCATCTATACAGAATTTGTTTCCTTATCCATTATATGTTTATCATAACTAAATCCTTAAGACTGACTGACTGAGTTTGGTTTTACACCGCTTTTAGCAATATTCCAGCAACATCACGGCAGGGGACACCAGAAATGGGTTTCACATATTGTACCCATGTGGGGATTCGAACCCGGGTCTTCGGCGTGACGAGCCAACGCTTTCACCACTAGGCTACCCCACCTCCCCAAATCCTTAAGACATTTTTCTTGCATTATTAAAAAATCAATAAATGTACATCAAAAGATTTTTCACATAAAAATTCTAAACAACTTATGAGGTGAGATGAAACAGGGTGAAAGGTCACGTTGAAGATTATTCCACTTATATGGTCATATGTTTGTGTGGCTGCTTGTACAAGTTATAAAGTGCTAACTAGAGTTGGGTATTGGTTAAAATATCATAATTAATGATTGGTTCATTACAACTAATCAATCATCGAAAATAATTGGTTAGCGTCTTTTATCAAAATGTTCCTGTTATCTTTCATTCTCTTCCCATAGAGGTTACTTGTCATATCTTCCTACGAACCTCTGTTCTAATACGGCCCTTTCGTGGTGCGAGTGTTAAGGGTTCGTGATTGGTTGCAATCAGATTTAGTTGTGCAATCAGCGACGTTGTTTCAAAAGTGATCATTCGCAAGGCCTCAGTACTTTCCATATACTGCGGGAAAACTAAAACCTCTTCCCCTGCGATGCGCAAACGTTTCTTCTAGACAGAACTCAGTCATGTAATGGCAGATCAATGGCATTTCCATCGCCCCTGTTGACAATGGACATGCTAGCCATCAAATGTCTTGTGTGTCACATCAACACAATTCCCTGCTGATGTGGCCCCACATTTGCTTGTATTAGTCAAGCTGGATGTAAGTCGACGTAACACATGTTCTGATTGGATAAAAAGAAGGGAGATAATTCGTGTTGCGACTTTTTGCCGCTTTTACAAGAACCCAGGATTTTACGAGAACCGGGAAATATGGCCATATTAGAACAGAGGTTCGTAGGAAGATATGACAAGTAACCTCTGTGGAAATAGAATGGTTATCTTTGTAAATGCACACACAACAATAAAGAAAAAAACATGTAGTTCTTTGGGGTTTTTTGTAAACTGCACAAAATGCATTTGCAAATTTCACATATTTAAAGGATGACAAGTATGTTAGGAACATAAATTTCCTGGAGCTTTTAAGAAAACTTCAATTATGATTTGGTATCATCATGTAGTGCTTATGAAATGTAAATTTAATGACAGAGACAAAACCAACCTTGTGAAAATATTGTTGATACATACAAGTATTCCAAAATTGTTTGTGTTCGATTATGAGAAAATATGTTCGATTACTTGGTAATCTACTCACTGCGACCAGTCTTCGATCATTTCAATTAATCGAATCACCACCAGTGCTAACCAACTGAGATACCATGCCACAGTTATTAAATGGATATTCCACTCATAAGTAATATAATGACACCAAGATGACATATCTTTGTTTGGCCATCTTTTAACCTCCTTTGGAATGACTAAGCTAATAGATCAAATTACTCAACTCCTCTTTCCCCTCTAAACCAGTGAACCCTGCAAGACAAATACCTCACCTGTCCTGCCTTGCCAAACTTCTCAATCTTCCTGCCGTACCACTCCTGGCTGTGGAGTCTGTTGCCAGCAGATAAGCGGATGTGGCTCCTCCCTTCCTCATCCTGATCATCTTGAAAACTGATTCATATCATTGGGTTTATTTTCTTTAAATGTTCCCATTTATTTACTTGTAATAAGAAATACAGTAACCAAGGCAATGGTGCAATCACTGGTTTACAGAGTTATCTCCCTTAACTGTTGAATATGTTTGAATCCCCAAGTGGTAAACGTCAATGATTTTCATCACCAACTGGCATACAGTGAAAGAAGTGTCAAACCTACTCATTCACTCCTCACTATTTCTGATCTGAATATTTGAATCATAACATGTAATCTTGAAATGTGAACCTTCATAATGTAATGCAAGACTGGAATTAGTGGAACGCAATTTTATGCATACAATTCTAACATGACCTCCATAAAACATTTATACAAGAAAGGATAATAAACATTTAAGGTAAGGAAAACACTAACAACCTGTTGTTGATAGTGAGTTTTCATCCCTTCCCTTACCGTTCATTATGTGATCCAACCTCAGACATGAGGGACTCTTTCCATAAGCTTCTCTCTTCATCTGCCAGAGTACCAAATGTGTCACTTTCTTTAGAATTCCAAGTCTTCTGGACTGTCTTTATTTCTGGAGGCTGAAAGTTTGTTGGTTCCTTCATCCGAGCCCCCACATCCTGCTCTGTGTCATGAACAGGCCTCCTTGACCTTACAAAGCTCCTTGTGTTTCCTAACTGACCAAACATATCAGAGTCATCTGACCTTACTTCTAGCTCCAAATATTTCCTGTCATTTTCTCTGTCTTCGTTTGTGAATACTCTATTATGAAGTTTTGAAACCTTATCTGGTCTTCTTCGTCTCGACTTGAATGACTGCTCAAAGTTTCCACTCCTTGGGGCATCTCCTTCTGGACCAAACTCCTCACTGCTGTCATGCAGCCTTCTGCACAACAAATTCTGACCAACACCAAGTTTGTTCGACAACCCTTCAGTCTGCCTCAGCAAAGTGTACAATCTCAGAGACAAACTCGGCAATCTCAAATGAATACCTGCCATTTTGTTTAGCTCTTATTAACTGGTGAACTGGAAAAAAAATATATTTGTCATGAAACATTTATAAAGGACTCTGAAATATTCATACCACTCTTGTCTACACTAAATGTATTATGAGTGAGTGAGTTTAGTTTCACGCCGCACTCGGCAATATTCCAGCTATATGGTGGCGGTCTGTAAATAATCGAGTCTGGACCAGACAATCCAGTGATCAACAGCATAAGCATCGATCTGCGCAATTGGGAACCGATGACATGTGTCAACCAAGTCAGTGAGCCTGACCACTCGATCCCGTTAGTCGCCTATTACGACACGACAGGCATGGGTTGCAGAAGATCAATTCTAACCCAGACCTTCACGGGCAAATGTATTATGAACGCATGAATTACAAAAGTTAAGGACTATAAAAGTATTATTAGTGGGCTTCCTTTAATGTTCACAGTTAACAGTATTTAATACAAAAGGTTATCATGTACATGTTACTTGTAAGGTTAGTTCATGAAAGTTTCAATTTCAGTCACAACTGATCACATTCCGACAGGTAAGGCGTGGCGTATCTCAAACCTGTCTGTGAGACTTGAACAGTAGATCTGGTCTGTCACCACCGTCTGGTTTAGTAGATGCATAAACAGTGACGTACTGTCATTAAATACTCGCACAAAATTAACCTTACACTATTCCAAAGCCAAATAGCAACACGATGTGCTGGGCGACGCCATTTTGCAATTTGTTGTAAGCTCCGTTCTGGAAAGTGCGCTACCTATTAACCGTCTTCTGTGCCAGTATCGATACATAAAGCAATGCGCAGAGCTCTTCGTAAGGCTCCCCACAGCAACTGCTTTTCAGCAGAGTGCTCGGAGTTTCTGTACACACAACTTGTGGAAGCCGCGGAAGTTGAGTGGCTCAGATGGCTGACTTTGCGTGCTGGCATTAGATGCCTGACTCTGAGAGTGTGGGTTCGAATCCCGGATGGGACTCAAGCTTACAAAAGTGCTAGCATCTGTACTTTACTGAGAGAAAGTGTAATCCCAATTATAATACATGTTATATTAGACCACTTTCTAAATGTCATTGTAATTCACAATTGTTAGTACATGTATGTTGTTTTAGCGAATCGGTTCCATATCAACATATATGACCAAGAATCTGAAGTGTCCCTTATCACTTGGTGGAAATAAATGTTGTTGTCTTTTATAACTTGACCTCTTTTACCGTTACATGTTTTACAATAAATGGATAGTTCATAGTTCATTACACATAGTATATAGAATGAGGACAATTTTATGGATATACAACTTCTTTATTCTGTACAGGCGACGTTTCGACATAAATTCTAATGTCGTTGTCAAGTAAGTAGTGCTTCCTCATTCTTCATCTCCAAAACTTCTAGAATGCCAATCAAAGAAGACATAGTATTTGAACAAAATGGGTATGACAATTCAGTAACTATAATATATAGTTACTAAATGTTTTGAATGTGACATTACTTCATAGATATCTTAGACCAATCATCATCGACCGGGAAGAACTACATATATCTTATTAGAACACCTGTCCTGAGGATTTGGGGCATGATATATATATGGTAAGTTTAACCCGTGAAAATATGCCGATGCCTTCTGAAAAAATAGTCCAACAGCACCCAAGAAGATGCTGAAATAATGTCTGGGTGGTGATGGGGTGGGCTGATGAATTTTCGTGAAAACAAAGAGCACAAAGCATTGAAAAGTGAAAAAAGACCAGTCATTTATAGGCGAGAAATTAAAAAGAAGGATATTGTCCCCGAGTTATTTTAATTTGATCAAATTATTCCTTTCAGCTGTAAAGGAATCATTTCACGTTTTGAACACACATTGCTATACTTGAGACCTAATGAACACATTAATGTGCCACATCCATACCCAAAGCATGGTCAAGATGCTAAATTCTTACCCTGGTCAATGTATCAATGGGTAATCGATTTTAATTCTCGGCTCCCATGGAAGTGTACAACCCAAGTTGCAAGGCGCCTGAAGTTTGACAGTCTCGCCCTACCGGACACCCTTCAACACCAACGAAGTCTCTTGCCCGAGGAGACCTTACATGCAACATCTGTTCCAGCATAAGGCGTGTCCACGACACATTCAATAGTTACGTACTTCCGATCCACCTTCTGCTCGCAACCAATGTTGTTTTACATCGCCTGATTTGTGGTCAGCGAGCTACACATGGAACAACCAGATTCACACATGTTAAAGGTGCAAAACAAATCCCAAAGAACTTAAACCTTGTATTTACCAAAACATCAAGGTTGTTTTTTTATGAATAGATGTCGTTCATTTCATCGCCTTGAATGTTAGTGAATAGTTAGTAAAGGTCAATAATAGTAACGAAAACTAGCGAAATGAACGGAACAGGGATGTCACTACCTGAATGAAATTGGTATTTTCCCAAAATCTTAATGATGTATTTGAGTAATTTACTGTTTGTGTGAAATCATGGTGTAATGCATTTATCGGTGGAGTTAATTGAACGCTCTGTAGAGATTAGAGTACCGTAGAATAATTCACCCCAGTGTGATGTATCATCAAACCAGACTGAGTTTCTTCAACCTGCTTATTACTGAGCATCTTAAATACTGTCTTGTACTGTGCGCAAACATCAGTAGCGAAGGTGATGTCGTAATGCTGCTGGAGTATCCGATGACGTTGCTGGTGGCTTATACAGCCAGTATATACATGGCCCGTTTTTTATGCTATAATATGATTGACAAGATTGCTAATAAGTATACTTGTTGACATGAGTCTTGCTATATTGCTGAAATAACGCCGATGTGGCGTCAGATTCTAACGCACTCACTAATGTCACAACCACATTTTGCTGTACATATGTACGTCCCTTTGCATTTGCCGATCCGCCCGATGTCGGTAAGAATTTGAAATTCGTGTATGTTATTATCGTTTGTCTTTCATCATCACATCTGTGCTGGTGGATTTCGACAAAGTGGTAGCCATTTACGGCACATTTCTTAATAACAGCATCCAGAGAGCATTAGATTTGTCTCACTCTCATATAACAGAATGTGGTAATGTTTTTTGCTATGGTCTGTACCTTATAACTCAATGTCAATTCTTCGACACAGGTAAGCGCATCCGTGGTGTTGTGAATAAAGGCTCTGCCCAAAGGGTGTCCTCTCACTTAGCCAGATTCTGTCAAAACAGGTCTCTCACATAGACAGAGTCATGAGAGTAGGATCTGGCTGACCAGGGTTAGTGTTTTGATAACGCATGTCCAGATGAGCCATGTAGTCTGTATCATCAAAATGCTCAACTAGTTAGATTCGTGAATTGTGTATTAAAGTGAGACACATTGGGATGGTCATTGCCAATGCCACTCAACACGTGTACGACAAGATAACCATATCGGGACACTTTCACAACTGAAAGTTGTTCGCGACAGAGTTATCTCCCCTTCTGCATGTTATCCCCATGTCCGTTACCAAAAGCAGTAACTTCTGATGGTTAATGGCAAATAACATTTTAACAAGATACAGGTTACTCCGATGCACCTAACGTGACATTTACAGTTATTAGCTTACAATAAACAACTAATCATTTCCCATGTTCATCGATATTTTCAACCGTCAAACATCACGAATAAAATTTTAATAACCTTTTCAGTAGCATTGAGTTCAGCTCCATTTAGACTTTCGTGCTCGCAAAACTTCGTTTTCCACAGGTCATTTATTCATAGAGTTTCCATTGCGAGCTGGTGTAGTTAGATGAATTCTCCAGCTACCTAATACGATATTTTAATTACCGCTAACATAAATATTTAAACCGTCTTTTTACGGAAAATTGCAAATATAACATAACCGGTGTTCATGCAATTTGTTACCCTTAAGAATCATTCATGTAAAGTTTCTCTTAAAACTGAATAAACAGGTTTCATGCCTTTACACGTTGCTTTTCATAATGCTAATGTAGCTGTCATCACCAACACTGTTTAACTCCGGGTAAATCCAGGTTCAAACAGGTAAAAATAAAACACAAGGATATGTTTGCGATTCCTTTTATTGTATTAATTCATCCAACATAAATGCACTCCATGCTGCTACATATATTTATATGTCATTTCCTGATGACAGATTGGTAAACCAAACAACTTACCATATTAAAACGGCGCTACGGGCTCTGCGAGAAAGTGAATTATGCTGTGTAGCCTGCTGGCGATCAACTTTAATATCTAATACAAACACCATCAGCTTACTACTCATGGGCAACACTGACGAAGATAAAGTACGTGGAACATGTAAAGTGTGAGCTTCGGGTCTCTTGTTGTTTGGAGGAAGAGGATATCTCAAACAATCCCCACACAAATACATAGGCGTAAAGATCATAGCAAGGTCAAATATGCAAATTAGATATGACCCATGCACTCAGTTGTTAGAGCAGACGGATGACCGGACGCCGGATTGCGTGCCATGCCACACGCCTATCGGGCCTTTCAGGCCTGTGGAGCTAAAAATTAAATAACATGAACCATAAAATGGAATTTCCAATCCCATTAGTGACTTAACTTTATTCACCGAACCTTAAACTCATTCAAGAAGCGGTTTTATCTATGTGTTGAGCATTTAATTAAAAAAACCCATGTAATTATTGCCTACAAAATTTTAACAAACTCATTTCTTATGGAAACATAGGAGGCTAATGACTTCATTGTATTTTACCTTAACCAGGAAGCTAAATTTGAAAACACTAAACTGATCGATGTTCCCTACAAACATGAAAAAAGTTCGAAAAGCAAGATCAGCTACCTTTTAGCTCTCAAAACTTAATGTAAATACAGTAAGGCGAACCAGAAATGGTTTAACTTTTTGTTTCCGTTATGTTAACGGAAAAAATCAAGTTTTTGTCTTTGTCAAACTGTAAACATTTAAAAAATAAACCTAACGCTATCATTCACAATGTTATTTTCGACATGGGACATTGCTATTCATTCACAGCAATAGGAAACATGTACGCATACATTATTTGAAAGCACACTCGTATACAGACTAGATTTTGATGTGCTCCAAACATAATAACATTCTCAAATCAAATAACGGTTTCCTCAAAGGAGAGAGGACATACAGACGCACGGTGATATACTGATATTTTATCTCAAATCACTTTACATCTTGGTTTCTAAACAACATCCGAATGATATTAAACGTTCATCCAAACATGAGTTTACTCAACCTTGCACACAGCAATCACAAGCTGAAACTATCATACCTCATCCTTAGGTATATTTCATAACAAAAGATAATAATAAATTTATTTTTCATGTGGTGAAAATTATCATCTAAACCAAAAGCAAGCATAAGCACGGCTTCTTTGCATTCAGCTCTCCTACCCAACCGACATCAACACGGAATTGCTTGCTTGAACAAAAATAAGTCTTAAAACAAGACAATATAATTGCATTAAATAGGCAAACTCAATTAGATGTCAAAAAACATTGACAGAGCATATCTACCCTCCAAAGAATAAAACTGTTAACCATAAAGACAAGAATACAAAGAAAGCAAACTACCTGCAGTAGTACAAATTCTTTTACTTTCGTGGTTGAATGATGCGAGTCTCAAACCCACATCTTCGCCACCAGGGCTCACTGTGGTCATAGTTAAAGTCGAGGTTAAAGTGTTGTAAGGCTGAGTTCTGGCGTGAGGTGTCTTACTGAGTTTTAGCCCCTCCTCGAATACAACCACTA